AGAGACAGGGTCTTACTGAGTTGCTTAGAGCCTCGCTTTTGCTGAGGCTGGCTTTGAACTGATGATCCTCGCGACCCCGTGTCTCAGCCTCCCGAGCTGCTAGGATTACACCGCGCCAGGCACAAGTGTATCTTTTTAACGACTGCACTCCAATGTGGATATAATAGAAGTTAATTGCTATTCGTCAGTTCAGGGAACACCTGGGAGAGGTGGTGTTCTGTCAGGAAACCATCTTTTCCCTGAACTGAAAAGCTCGTCCTAGTAAAATGCCTTTCTGGAAGTAACTACAACTTTTGCACAACCAAATCACACCAGAGGCAGCACTCTGCCCCGCCCCCAACTCCCATCCTCAGATTCCCATTCCACGCCCAGTTGTAGAAGGGAATATCAGCACAGTCCAAGCAATGGAAACTGCCAGAGAATGTAATAAATCAGATGAGAGAATCAAGTCCGGAAAGGAATCCCTTCACTCAAATGCTAAACAGGTTCTTTATCCTCCACAACCCGATCCTCCCCACCCCCACATTTCAAAGAAGCACTTCTTTCTAAACAAGACAGGGACTTAAAGCATTTCCTCCCGCAGATTATGTTTCAAATATGTGATCTCAATTCAATTTTGGAGGGAGAATGGGAAATGGGGGGAAATTTAGATCTCTTAAGTCTTCTAAGATCTCTCACAGTAGGCTTTTCAAACTTTAATGTACAATTATCCAAGGTTTTTTCTTTTTTTATGGTACTGGGGTACCAAAGCCAAAAATCTCAACCTTCTCTTCTCCAAGCATAGAATCTTTGCTACAATATATATTTTTTAGTTTATTTTATATTACTTCATTGATTTTTTAATTAAAATTTTTTTCTAGTTGTAGATGGACAGAATATCTTTTATTTTTATGTGGTGCTTAGAATCAAACCCAGTGCCTCACACATGCTAGGCAAGTGCTCTGCTCTGTCACTGAGCTACAGCCCCAGCCCTATTTCACTGATTTTAAGACGCACTTTTTTTTTTTCATATTACAACAGTGATGTCAGGATTCACAATTATCGATGCTAGGACTGGCAGCGTGGCTCTGTGGTAGAAAGCTTCCCTAGCACATGCAAAGCCCTGGGTTTGATCCACAGTAACATACACACAGGCACTATCTTACATTCAATGGAACATGATAGCTAATAATTCTTATTGCTCTATTTCAACTGCCTTCACCATATTTTGCATATGGATAATTCTACTTGCAGTAGGCAGTGTAATATACTAATAGATTGTACATCCTGCTGATCTCTCTGCATCTACCCTCTTGTCCTCTCTGGCCCAGAGCTCACTTTACAAGTTAATTATCTTTCTAATAGGCAATCAGGTGTGCTCTTGGTCCTCTGTATCTACTAGGGACAAAGTACTGTAGGTACAGCAAAGAGTGCCAGATGCTTATTCTTTTAACTTCTTTTTGTCTATCAAATATTGGCCTAAAATTTCATCTTTTCTAAAATAGCTGTTTATTCTCTTCCCTACAGGCCTAGGCACTCCTTGCAACCCTTGTCTTTCATAATGTCTGGGATATAAAACAGGGCTTGGAAAGTATCTGTTGAATGAAAAAACCAGCCAGCACTGACTCGAGTCATTTCTGCCCCCCCAAGTTCTTTAGTAGGAAAATTGAAGCAAGACCTTTCTTTAAAAAAGCCCAGTGGTAAATACATGGCACTGAAAATGAAACGGTTTCAGGGAGGAAAATCTGGTTTCTGACTTCATTAAACATGTGCATGAAAAAATATCTGCTAGGGTATGTCACTTAGTGGTAGAGTGCTTGCTAATTTTAAAGAAAACATACTTCTTACACAAGACAATTTAAACTGATGCAAAATATTTATTCCAAGTTAGTTATTTTATGCAGTAGTTTTTCCCCTCAACAGACTTGTGATAACCACATCTTTTAAATCTGTAAATAATGTTATCAAAATAATCTTAATCTTTGAAATCTCACAAAAATTTATATTTTACAATCCACCCTGAATATCAAGGCTGCAAGAATAACACATTTCCTATATCCAAATATTTTACAGCTGTACCCAAAAAGGAAAAAAGAAAACAAAAACAAACAAACAAACAAAAAAACCACATATGCTTTGTTAAGGGCTAAAGTTACCCGAGCAGCCAAAAATAAAATAAAATATCCAAATTATTAGCATTAATTTAATACAATTATAACTTCAATAGTCACTTTGTCATTGACAATGATTGCTTGAGCACAGGGGTGAGTGCCCCAAGGGCTGGTAGTAGAAGCTGTTGCTGCAGACCAGTGTCTCCTCTCTGCATCTCTGCACTGCCAGCTCCCACCTGTGCATCGCCCCATATGTACTGTGTGTGTGTATTTAAAAAATCTTTCCCACCACACAAACTTCTATTAAGCAGATAACAGGGAAGAACAACAACAAAAGCTAAACAAGCCAACTGCTCTTTCTTTGGGATATGATTATTTCCCTTGTGCATGAAATATTCAACAACATAAGAAAAGGAAAAGAACAATTTCTTTTGTATATTCCCTAAACACACAAGCTGAGTTTACTGAGTCAGATTAATTGTGAGCCTTTATATGCCTACTTCCAGGCATCGTCATCTGATGTTTCACTGCTACTTGTTTCTGTGTCTGAGTCCTCAAACTCTGCTTTACAAGTGCTTCTCCAAGGGGAGAATAGGCTGGAACCGCGGCTCTGTAAGAAGCCATTCTTTCCGAAGCCATTTCTTCTCAGCTGTGGTTAGCGTGGGAGAGAAAGGAAAAAAATAATCCATCAATGACCACACTGGCTTGTGGGACATAGGAAAAGGCCAGGCCTCAATTTGATGAGGGAAAATGGGAGATGGGGGAAAACTTAGATCTTCTAAGATCTCTCACAGTAGGGCTGTTTAAACTTTAATGTACAAATAATTATCCAAGGTTGGCTTTTTTTTGGGGGGGGGGTACTGGAGTACTAGTGATTGAACCCAGGGGTGCTTTTACAACTGAGCTTCATCTTCATTTTTTGAGACATGGTCTAAGTTGATTAGGGCTTAGCTAAGTTGCTGAGGCTGGCCTTGAAATCATAATCCTGCTGCCTCAACCTCCCGCAGGCGTGTGCCACCATGCCAAGGACCTGTGATTCATTTTGTCCGAGGTAGGATTTGAGATTTCCTATTTCTGAGTTCTGAGTGGTAAGGTCTTACGTCAGCCTGTAAACCTTCCTTCTGTGTCATTTATTCAGCTGTCATTTATATGCCACCAGAATGTAAACTCAAGGAGGTTTATAGAAACTTCATTTATCTTGTTCATTGTTGTAAACCTTAGGATCTGGCAGGGTTTTCTTTGTTCTTGTTTTTTGCAATGCTGGGGATCAAATGCAGGGTGTCACCTATATAAGGCAAGAGATCTACCAGTGAGCCAAATCCTTACCCTTTGGCAGAGTTTTATTCAGAGAAAGTGGCCAAGTATTTGTTGAATGAATTCATGTAAGCCTTTTGGTTTCTTAGTTCTCGCCAGAGCAGCAGAAGGAACTCAGGGCTGAATATAGAGAAAGTTCTGGCTTCTTCCTAAACACAGAGCTCAGTCCTTTGGAACATAATCTTGGGGTTCTACGAGGATGAAGAATGTTACCTTCTGGAATCTGCTAGTCACTGACCTGTTGGTATACCTACCACTGGAGATCCTTATTGTTCAGGCAGAGTTTGATGCTCCTTTATATTTCTACTACGGTAATTACTTTATACTTTCTTTTTCAAGGTTTCTCTCTCTCACTTAGGGCTTCCTTTCTTTCCTAGTGTTTAACTGGTCTCCAGGGAGGATTTATGACATACCTGCTCTGTCTTCATGTGGAACTCTTTTAGCTCATCCTCTGTGAGAGGAAGGCAATTCTCATCATTTTCAGGATATTCTTGCCATCCCATTGATT